CCCTGTAATTTATAATTTGTAGAAAATCATAGCAAATCCAAAGAGTGTCCAGCGACTCTCCATTCCGTCTTACAAGTGTTTTAAGTAGTACTGTAATATTTTTTTAATTTGATTGTCATGTGTTGAAATCGCAAAATATCGCCGCGAATACACTTCAAATTACGTATAAAACCTGTGCTAAATTTGATTATATAAATTTTATTAATTTTGTTATATACGAAATACTTTGTCGCTACTACCTGTGCTTGATTATGATTTTGATGGGACATTAAAAAAAGTAGTATTTTTTAATGTCATATAACATACAGCCATGCGTTTAAATAAGGATATTCAATAAAAAGCAAAAACATAATGGCAGGAAAAGAATGCGGCACACATTTTTGATTTTAGAACTTACAAGTAGAACCTAAAGTGTTAAATTTTACAAGCCCTGTAGATTTTTTTGATAAACGTAATTTACTCGAACTTGTAAAAACTTTCCTGTAAAGTGTAACTTGTGAACAAGTAGACTTGTGAGTATTGATAAACAGGGCACTGGTCTACCCCGTGACCATGGGTAAAGTGCTCGAAACGTCGTGTATTTAAAAAGTTAAATAAACGCGATAAAATCCGTAAAAGCTAGTATTATTTAAATGTCTAGTGTTCGCGTAAATATAAGAAATCATTATTTTTATTTTTGTGGTTTTTATTTTTTTACAAAAAAATCTTATACTGTAGAGCTCTATAAAGCAAAAAGTTTCTTCATTGGTCATTGTTATTCCCATTTTATAGACACTAGTTACGAAACGTGAATATAAAATTTTTATCAGGTGCGTGCAATCATTCTGAAAGCTCGTAGCACTGAAGATTTGCGTTGAGAGTTTCGCCAAAAAAAAAACAGCGAATTCAAAAGGGCTCGGTATTTCTTCATTATAATGTCACACACCTGAAACTCTCCGTGCTTTCACCGCAAATTTAGCGTTAAGAAGTTATTAAGTGAGCATTCCTTAAAGCTTTTTGGACTTAACATTAGAAAGGTACAATATACTAAATACACCAATAACTGCATGAATCAATCACAAATATTGCAACTTCACAAATATCTTTAAAACGTAAGTTTTTAATGAAATGATATCAGAAACTAAGTACAAGTAAGTTTCTTTCATTATTCTTAGCCAGTGCTTAACTATAATCTGACTTAACAAAAACCTGATTAGGTTGTTCTTGCCTTGAAGACATGCACATTGCAATCGGATGGAAAGATAGAAGCTGGAAACTTATTCTACTCCTTTGCTGTATGCATGACGAACGATGTAGCAAACCTTTAGGTTAGGGTTAGAAGTCAACGACAAAAGTGTGGGAACTGACCTTAAACGTCTGGTTGTCCGATGGTGGAAGGAAGAGAGAGGAACGAGAATTAAGTTATACAATTCCTGCGCACACTCTCCTGCAAACTTCGCTCCTGTGTTCGAAGCTGATAATGATTGGTTTTAACCAGATTTGGGTCACCATTAAGTCTCTTAGCACGCTTTTCTATTGTATCCAAAGCTGCTACGGTGGCAATTTGCAGCTCTGGACTGTAACTGGACTTGCGCTTTTTATTTAGTAAGCAGCCGTCCCAGCGTAAAGTACCGCTGCACCTTTGCAAGGACTCCTAGCTTCTTTGTAAAGGTGCGTTGGTACTCAATGAACCGTCCTAAATTGAAATTTGAGGATATCTCAACCCCCAACAACTGAGGGCCAAAAAGAACCCAAGTTGAGCTGAATACTGAAGACTATTCGCTCGTTGCGCTCGCTCACTCGACCCCGCCATCTCCTTCTAACCAAACCTGTCCAAGTCGGGATGCCCTAAGTCCCAAGATCGCTTCGTTCGATCTTACACTCATTAAAACACCAAAATATTAACTTTTATAATTATTTCGATTTTCTAGTGCGTTTAAACATTTAAAGTCAGAAAACCATACAAAAACTTTAAGAGATATAAAAGCTCCCATCTTAAATGATGGCTCCGTTAATCTGAAATACCTCAGCCCATTTGTATGTTGGAGATATTGCTTTCAAAGTGAGTACCTATAAGTTATTTTATTTATTTGTTTGTTTTAAAAACATTATTGCATTAACCATAAAGGAGGGCGGACTTAATGTCAGTTAGAATTTTTTGCCAGGCAGTCCATGGCGTGGTGGGAAATGAGTGGCAAGTGAGTTAAATAACTAAATATATGTATATCTGTATATTATACATACATACATTATATGTCTGGATAAGGTAACAGTTAAATTGACATTATACTGATGACATTGTTTTCAAAAGATGTTCTCGGACCAATCTTTCGAAGGCTATCTTTTTTGGTGCTTTCCTAATGTCTTGAGGACAGGAGTTCCAGAGTAGTGTAGTAAAAAGTTAGGAAATAGGATGCACAGAAAAATATAAACGTGGGTTGTTTTAAATACCTTTTATTACCCCATGATTAATATCGTAGATTCATAGTAGATTTATTCATAGTTTTTAATAAACTGTATTTAATTGGCAGCGGTAACATGTATTTCACTAAGTAGGACTTTTTCTACGTACTGGGCTTAGCCAAGTTGGTTTTCTAAAAAATAAATAAATAAATAAAAATGTTTTATTTCAGTAAATCATTTTACAGCTATTTGCCGAGGCCTCCCAGAAAGTAATCATAAGATACTTGTGTTGGGAGAGTCTCGCTCATCCTACGTAATCGTATCAACTTAGATTTACATCAGAAAAAAAAAATATATAAACATTTTAAACTTAATATTACAGTTATTCATGCATTTTAAACTGAAAGAAAGAAGCTTAGGAGAAATGTATACCTGAGTAGTTGTGTCAGTTGTGTGTTAGTTTATTGGTGTGTGTGTGTGTGTGTGTGTGTGTGTGTGTGTGTGTGTGTGTGTGTGTGTGTGTGTGTGTGTGTGTGTGTGTGTGTGTGTGTGTGTGTGTGTGTGTGTGTGTGTGTGTGTGTGTGTGTGTGTGTGTCTGATTTGTTGTGTCAGTGTGTGTTATTTAAAACTGGTTCAACTCTTTCTGACCAAAATGTTTTCCACATCATCATAATTAAGAGTATAGAGCCACTCGGTCAGAGTTTTTCTACACTCAAACATTTGCATTGGGTAAATTTTAAGTAAGCGGTTGATCTTGTTATAGGCATGAGGAGCTTGAGATATATTTTGTCGAGTGGCAAATACTGTACGTGCAGGGTATGAGGGAGCCACAATATCGCACCGCCTTTTCGTAAGTTTGGTATGGTCAAATGGTAATGTTTTGTGATATCTTAGTATCATGTGTAAAATATAAAGTTTTCTAACGGAGAGCAGCTTAGATGTTTGGTATAGGGTTTCGGTGGAAAACCTATAGGGCCAACAGTACATTACCTTAATCAAGGATCTTTGCGCCCTTTCTAAATCTATAAAGTATGATTTAGCTGCTCCTCCCCATACGGATATGCAGTAGATTATTACAGACTGGGCTAGTGCGATATATATTTTATTCAGTAGCTTGGTACTCATCACGTTTCTCAGAGATTTGAAAACCCACATGAGCTTCCTTACCCTCCCAATTGTTAGTTCTAGGTGTGGATACCAACTTAATCTTTGATCCACCATGATTCCGAGGTATTTAACACAACTAACTTTCTGAATTACAGGGCAATTACATGTGTTGGGGAAAGGCGTACCACAGGAATGAATTTTTATTTCAAAATTAGGTGACGGCTGCGAATTAATATATGGAGCGAAGCGTACGTAATTCGTTTTTTGAGTGTTAAGAGTAAGGAGATTCTCACTTAACCAGTGCCAAACTCTGCCTAGTCCCATCTCGGCCCCCATCCTAATTTTATCCCAGGTCTTAGCGGTGAAAATAATAGCGGTATCGTCCGCATAGGACAGTATCCTTCCTCCAACGTTACCAAGGTTACAGAGATTATTAATATATATCAAAAAAGAGGGTTGGGCCGAGAACACTGCCCTGCGGTACACCAAACGTTACATTTTCTTCTTCACTTATTAGTTTATTTATTTTTACACCCTGCTTTCTGTTTTGAAGGTAGCTGCTGAGAAGGGAGAGAGCAGATTCACGAAATCCGATACTTTCTAGCCTTCGTATAAGAATGGGGACAGAAACGGTATCAAAGGCCTTCTTGAGGTCAAGAAAGGTCACTAAACATTTGTTACCTTTGTCTACTTCTTTTGTTATAATGGATGTAAGATAAAACTATACAAATTAATGGAAATAACATTATAACAAAATCACAAGTGACAGTCACATGATTTATGTAGACTTCATTAAGTGGTTGAGTTTTCTGTTAGTGTTATCGATTGTAGAAAGTCAACTTGGCTAAGTCCGCAGGAGTCGATATGGGTTGGTACAAGCCTTTATGTCCCAGTTAAAACCGTCAGAGAGGCAGTATAATTATAGGCTATGAATCTCACTCACTCACTATGAATATCTCTCATCATCATCAGACAAGCAGACAACGGCCAGTCTAGTACGCATTATGCACCATTTGTATCGTCGACGAACAACAATCGTAATGCGTACAGAAAAGGAGTGGAATAATTTCCCACTATCTATCTTTATATCACTTACCTATTTTTCCATGCGATTACAATGTAGGTGTTTTTTTCAGGCAGTAAGCTAAGTCGGTCCAGTTTGCCATTTTCGACTGCATCACTACTTACCATCATACCATCAAGTGGGTTAGCAGTCAAGCATTAGCTTAGATCACGATAACAAATTTTTATATTGTAAAAAATTTCAGCAATACATTATTTTTTAATAATTAAATAACAATGTATTGCTGATATAAATATATTGATTATATAATATATAAATATACATAATCAATATATTTATATAAGTTTTTATTTAATTTGAATATTTTTGAAAACTTACACCTAAATATAATGTACAAGTAATAAAATAAGCAGAGGATGAAGGCCAATAGCAAGTTTATTTTAAGAAAAAAACAGAACGTAATACTAATTAAAGTATATTTTTACAGATTGCTGCTTTGCTTTTAGTTATGGTCGCTCTCGGTAACGGTGAGTATAACATTTTAAATATACATGTAATAGGTATATATAATTTTGTAAATATAAAATGAGAAAATTAATAGCCGGATATCCGAGTGCAATAATAAAACTATGTGTAACTATTACTACCATACTAAATGGATCACCTTTTCGGTTCAGTTGTGGCAGTAACCAGCACTTGTGTTCGGATCTTTAGTACCTATATATAACTACGCAAAACACCAGATTCTGTGAATTATAATACTTAGTAGGAAATTAGCATTTCTTCTTGTTAATATTACTTTACTCTTTGGTTAGCATTATAGAATTATTTTAGTTTTACAAACAAAAGATACCTTTCAACAGGTCATGCGCACGAAGGCGGTCAAGGACAAGGAGGACCGGGAGGACATGGTGGCTCTGGTCCCAGAGGTGGCCCAGGTGACCAAGGCGGATTAAGAACAGGACATCAGGGTGGTTCTGGTCCAGGAAATCAGGGAGGACCTGGTAACCAGGGAGGAGTAGGACCCGGTGGCCACGGCGGACAAGGAGGATTAGGTGGTCAAAATAGTTGGATCTAGAGTCTAGAGGCGGTCAAGGTGATCACGGCAGTCACGGCGGTCACCGTGGCGGGCATTAAGAGCACGGATATTAATTTGTAATGTTTATTATTAAAGACTAAATGAATTAATGTTTGCTTTTTTATTTATCATTTTGTTTATTAGATGCCTTATAATAACTTAAAATTGGTATTGGCGCAAATTTTTCAAAGTAAAGTTTTATCGTTTATATAACATAATAGTTTGAAGTGCCATTGGATACCGTGATTTTGTGTATTAAGGGGATAGAAAAAGTCAGCTCAAATTCTAATTTCGTCCCCACTTGCCCGCGCGTCGTATGCTATGTACCAACGTGTTTGTAATCACTAATACTGTAAGTAGAACGGTCGTTAGACACTTATTTCATTAGGTATATCATATTAATGCCTGTTTCTTAACGCCAAGCCAGTCGCTTCTTATTTTTATTACGGTTATTTCCCATTTTAATTTTACGTCGTCCTGTTGCGTAATGTATATTCTGATCGTAAGCGACACGACCTCCCCGTTCAAAGGCCGAAGCGAAGTGACCGTGCGGCAGGAATCACGCTTCAAAAGGCCGATAGTTTAGGTAATTTCTTTTTACAGTGAAAATAATGGTATTTTAAAAAAAAGTAAATAACATAAGCACTGCTTTATAGTTAGTTCAGTTAGTATGCAAAGTTTCATGATCTTATTTAAAGTATTTTATGAATAACAGCAGTTTATTGTTTATTTTGGATGTAACTTTGGATTTTTTTTCTATCGAGAAAATGTTACGAAATCGTGTTTTCGTCTAACATAATCCTTAACATTAATCCTCAACTTTATCATATATTTATTTCAAAATTAATGCTGTAATATTTTCAGCATAACGAAGGATCTTGCTTAGCCATTTGAGATTATATTTCCCCTTAAGGCCCCAGTCTTGCAAAATTTAGTGTTCTCGCAAAATTTACATCAAAACAAATATTTTTATAGTATTTAAAAAAAGAAAAAGTGAAACATATTTTACATTTATTTAAAGAGAAGGATTTGATATTTTCGAAAATGTTTTTTAATTTTATTTTGGTGTTTAAATTAATAGCTATATTAGGCGCTAAACATAACTATGTTTACGTTACACGCGTAAAAGGTCTTATTAAGGCCTCTGCTCTGTACAAACTATAACAATATCAAAAAAAGTATTCAGATCACATTTATTTACATATTGTCTACAATATCTCTGATCTCTGTCTGATCTGATCTGGTCACTTTTTTTATAAATGCTTTAGTTTTCTTATTTGAAGGGCTTAAAAAGTTGTGATTTCATGATTTTTTTTACTGAAAATATCTATTTTTTTTCTATTAGAAGTATAAATATAGCAAAGTCGTACTTAAAACCACATAAAATAGAACTTTTTTAAGTGAGTTTATTAGAAATAAATAAATCTAAAAAAAAAAAATACATATTTTCGTACTTTTTACCTATATTCCATTTATACACCAGAAACACCTGAAAATTCTCTCAGTTCCGCTTCCGCTGGGATTTCTCGGCGTTCAGACGTGTGCAGTGTTGCTCAACGTTACTTTACCTCTCGCTCGCACGGTTGATCTCTCTCTCTCTATCTATATATCTTATTAAATACACAAATTATTTTTATCTAATTGTCATATTAGTTCTAGTTTTTAGTGTATTAGTGCTTACATTAGTATTAGATTAATTGACTTGGACTTTTATATTTGGAGAATTTCAATTTATTACCGAAAAAAAAATAAACGGAAAAAGACGGATAGAAAAAAGAACAAATATCCTTGTGTCAGTTAAAATAGTAGTAAAGTATAAAACGTACAAGGTAGAGGCGAATTTGTATGAAGAGGCAGTTTTTATTTTCCTTCGATTGTATATACCCTTTTTAAACCTACACCCCGTATAAACATTACTAAAAACGACATTTATGAAATATAAAAGGGTAAAAAATATATACTACTACGACAAAAGTAAAAGGAATATTTTTGGAGAAAAAATTAGTAAGTTATATATTTAATGAAGTAAAGCAACCTTCACCTGCGATCTCGAACGTATTTATGCACGGGGGGAGAGCGCCCCCTCTAATGGCAGGGAATGTAAAACAGCAAAGCTTTAAGTGACTGGGCATGTGAACTATTGGTGAAAACGATGAAACAAGTGCTTCGATGTTGAGTTGTTTGTCCGCTTCGGCGCCGTCACAAGAACAAATTATTGTAATAATGATTTGTTATATTTACACGGGTACAAGGAGAGCCGTGGCAGCTCAGGGGCTATGTCCTTACTATTTGCTGTGTACTTCACAGTACCATGGAAGGAAAAAATCTTAAAGAAACCTGCATGTATGGGAAATAAGAAAAGAAAATATTTCTAAGAAAACGTGTGACGTTCACTAACAGGCACTGGAGCAGCGAGGCGGACACTTCATTGCCCTCAAAACTCAGCCCAGTTGTTGGACATATATAGATTTTAACTTTAACTTTAACACGAATACTGAACATAAAATAAAACTAACTGAGAAGCCGATCACAGTCGAGCGTGTTCCTGCTGTCCTACCATATGTCAGAGGAGTCACAAACATAACTGACTATGTCTCTAAGCTAGCCTTCATTAAAATCTACTTCAAAAAAATTTGTCCATTGGTTGGCTACGTGGCTTAGCAATAAGCCAATAAGTTGCGACGATGGGGGCCATGGGTTCGAATCCTGCACGGAACAAGTATTTGTATGGCCATTCTTTTCCGGGTCTGGACGTCTGTCCTTGTGCAATTTATGTTTGTAAACTGCTTCCACAATACATTAAAAAATGCTGTGGGAGGTATAGTTTAAAAAGAATTATCATCCGTCATGCAAAATACAGTATATATAAGCTTGATTGTATATTATATGTTTCCTCTTTCATATCACAAAGAAAGTTATCGATAAAAACCCCATAAAAGAACATTAGCTGACGTGAAACTCCGACGTTACGGGAATTCTGCAGTCTGGAAATGTTCAAAATTATCAATGCTTTTGATAGGCCACAAATATACTGTCATAAGAACACCGATTCCTACCAAGGATGTTTCACGAGGCTATTACAATACAAATTAAAATCATTAAAATTCCAGTATAGGAGATGGCTGGGTGCTACAAACTCCTTGGGTCCTATATAATAAATAAAATTAACTTCAAAAACCTAGACTTCAAGTTGAAGTACGTAGTACTATTATTTATTCTGTAGTTAAAGGTAGTACGGGCTAACTATGACATCGGTAGGTTAACCACCTCAGTACCTTCGAGTAAGACTGAGGACTGAGGAGGAACAGAACTAAAATTAAGTAAAATAAGTTAAGTGCCATAAAATTCGTAAAATTTGTTTTATTCGGATTACTTTAAATGATAATTTCCTATCACTTGTATTGGGAAATGTACGGTCTTTCGAGTCCATTACGAAAGAAAAAAAAAACAAATTTTCAATATATTTATACTTCCTTTTCGGCTAGGGTCTATAGATGGACAGTCAAAACACCTTTATCTATCTATGAAAAACTAAACGCTAAGATATCTATCCTCTATTCAAAATAAAAATGAGATTAGTTATTTTCATCACTCATGATAAAATAAATTCGTTAGCACTCGTACGAGTACATTACGAAAGAAAAAGCAAATCTTAAATTAGTTTTCAACACAATTATATTTTTTTTATTTATTAATTAATACTTACATTTCGGCTATGATCTATAGATGGACAGTCAAGACACCTTTATCTATCTATGAAAAACTAAACGTTAACATCTATCCTCGATCAAAAATTAAAATGGAGGATCGTTATTTTTTTATCACTCGTGATAAAAAAAATTCGTTAAATCCCGTTAGGTTTAAGACGAAATTTCTCGTTATCGGTCGGTTTTAGTTCTCAAACGAAAATGACATAGTCGATATGACACAAGTTATAGTTAGAGTTGGGGTGATGAGGGCATGCTGAACATTAACTAACGCGGCCGCTATGTACGCAATATGTACAACAGTACCATTTACATATTTAATAACATTTCAAATAATAATGTGTGGATGTAGAGCATGCAGCATTTATATTATACTAGCGGTGCCCGCCCTGCGTTATGCTTTTTTGTTAGAATAATTCGCCGGCGCGCGCACAATAACTCACCCAAATTTCATCATAATCGTATGGATGATAAAGATGCAGAGAAACGCGTAGAAAACGAGAAAGCCGATCAAAGGAATAAACAAGTATTCAATATTTTTGTCCAGTATTTCGCGGGCTCACACTTAAAGAATCGCCAAAGTTTAGTTCTAAATCAGAAAATGTTTTAGTCTAAAGATTTATCTATCTATTACGTTTTATTTTAGACTAGCGACCTATCCCGTATTTAAAAAAAAGAGCTATAAACATTACTAATATTCCCCCCTAACAACTCGTGGTAAGCTAAAATTGCTTGTGTTACGAGTGGTTCACGCCAGTATTCGAATGGCGGATTCGAACCCACGACCTTTTTGAGTTCGTGGTTCGCGCCCTGCCATTAGGCTACTGTCGCTTTTAAACTTTTGTTTGCATAGGATCTACTATTGTGGCGTTATTTAGGTTTATGTTAATTTAAGACGGAATATTTCATCAATTTTTCGTTTTTTGTCCTTTTCAAAAAAAAAAAATTAAGTTTTTCTGATAAAATACAGTCTAGATCCCCCTGAAATTGCTCTCTAGTCTTTTAGTAATGTTCCATCACCATTTCTTTCAATATCACAGACAGACGCCTAACTTTTATTTATATGTATAAATAAAATAAAACCAAGAATGCGAATAAAAAATAGGAATGTATTGATTAAATGAACATGGAAGTAGTCAGGTTATGCGAGGGCCGGAGGAGGTTTCAAATATACTAATTTATTAATAAAAAGATGTTTAATCGCTACAAGAACTCGCTTAAGACTATCTTAAAATTATATACTTAAAACAAAGTACATGAGAGCCCGCACAGGAGCTCGGCAGTTTCCGTTTT